GTGCAATGATGTCAGCCAGTGCCTTCAGTACCCTCGGATGGAGCTCATCTGGGCCTGCCAACTTAAACGCACCCAGTTCCTCTAAGTGACTCTGCACCATCTCAGGGTCTACACATGGTTTCCACTTTTTATATGCTCCCCTTTTAGCCCATAGGCTGCCCTGGATTTCTCTGGTCAGCCAGGAAAGCTTTCTAGCCCCTTTCCCTCTTTTTCCTCGCATCGGGATCGTCTCCCTCTGTGCCTGAAGGATCATTTCCTTAAGGCACAGCCACCCTTCCTGGGTTCCCATCTCTTCAAAACTCCTACTCTGCAGTGTGTCCTTGACTAATCGCCTGAGTTCATTGAAATCAGCTTTCCTAAAGTCTAGCACTTTCACCCTACTAGTTACCTTACCCACTCACACACGTCAACTATCTATACATTAATTTCTATACATGTGAAGGAGTGAGAGTGAGTAAACAAGATCCCTGAGGTGCCTTACGTTTAGGGCAAGGGAGGTCAGGAGAAGAAAAGCTGCCGGCAGCAACAGATAGGGAAAGTGAAAGCAAGCAACACTTACAGCATGGAGGTCCAGCAGGGATGCAGCTGGAGACCGGAAGGGAAGAAAAGCAATCACCACACTTATGGAGCAGCATCTTGCTCCAGAGGTATTTCCAGCCCTGGAGAGGGGCAGAGTGGGGTCAATTCCCTGTGAGCGCAGAGAGAGGAGGGGCTGAGCTCCCCAGCAGGCAAGTGTTGAGAACCCTGCCAGAGAAACGTTGTGGGTGTGGGCCAGAGAAGGAGGCAGGCAGAGGTCTGCCCACACAAGGCATCTGATAATCCCTGGAGCGGAGTGAAAGCTGAGGATCTGAGGCAAAGGCCAAAAGAATTGCTGTTTCAGGTTACAGCCTCGCTGCACGTGGGAGAGATCCCACTGGGACTGTGAATGCTCATGAGTAAGCCAGGGCAGGCCTGTGCAGAGCAGTGACTGGATTAACTGGGAGTGGGATTTTTTGTTGTGATTTGGACACGAAAGCCTGACCCCAGGTAGAGGGTTCATGGACTGAGTCTGACAAAGAGACAGAGAGCAGTTGGGTTTTGCTTTCTTTTTTTGGATATTTGAGTGCAGACCAAGGCCAGCCCCTGGAAGGGTGTGCACCCAACTAAAGCCAAAGGTCACCCTGGTGGCAGAAGGTGGAACAGTAGACCAAGAGGCAGCATTAAGATCTGGTTGCAGAGAACTATGAATGCCATCTAGAGAGGCTAGTGTATGGTAAAGGGGAGATTTGGAACCCCACAGAAGAAAACAGGGATTGAGACCTGGTAGAATCACCTTGGGAATTGCCTCCTAGCAATATAATATCATCAAAGTTGTGGCAGGTGAGAAACATAAGACCAGCTCCCTGGTAGACCAGGTGATCCAAAGCCAAGGTCCACCCTGTCACCACCCGTGGGAAAATGAGCTCAGGGCAGTGGCAGCAAGCCTTATAACACCTACAGTCATCACAATACACTATCTATATCTATATGCTATTTAACTATACACTTTTTACTATAAGACAACTATACACTACTTATTACATACACTAGAAACTGTTTAACTATTACACTATTACTAAATAACTAACTTGTACTGCGTGTGGATTCTTGATGTTTTCTTATTGATCCTTTTCAATTTCTGATCTCAAAAGTCTTCTGCAGGTAGGGAAGAAAGAAGAAGAGGATGGGGTTTTGGACCACAATCCAAACACTGTTCTCACTTTCCCTCCCCTCACCCCATTATTAGAAATAACATTTCTCTGATATTACCTATATATCACCCAGAATGCTGCATATCCTGGGGGTGGGTCTGGCATGCAGCGTCTACCTGCACTGTTCGTTGTTTTTCTGGAATGGTAATGTCAATTATCAAATAGGAAAGGTTACCTCTGAAATATTTAATTTATAAGAGGTGCCAGACTCCAAAAACAGTTGCAAACTTACCATTCTGGTGATACCGCTGTGCTTGGCAGTTCAGAACATCAACACCATAGTGAGACCACCATAGTGGTCTCAGCAGGCGGGGGCATGGAGCAGAGGAGGGGGGCCACGGGTGTGGCCGTATAAAAGGGAAATCTCATGTCATGTACATGCAGCCCAAGTCTTACTTGTGGTGCCTACGATCGATTATGGATCTGACCCTTAAGCCTCTCTGCAAATCCCTGTCCTCAGTCAGAGAGATTTATTCAAATATATCTTCTATTTCAGGCTCTTTAGATGCATTCAAACCAGGTGTCCCCACACACTTCACTTCCTCCTGGAAGTTAAGGGTGTGGAATTTTACTACCTAACTACTCTCCTCTTTTGGTGGTGGCTAAGGCATTGATGGAGTCCCTGGCTCACCTGTTCTCTCCCTGTGGCATACTGTATGTTGCTTTTCATGTACATGTGGCTATAGTCTACAGCAGGGTGTAATGATAGAAGTCATAGGGGCCAAAGTATATTTTTTTGTTAACCCTTTGAGTCAGAAAATTCTTGCATGTTTGCCCGCCAAACAATTGGACTTGATGACCAAGGAAGTCCCTTTCAGGCCTAAATTCCTAACTTCGTTCTTATTTTGGGACTTGTATTTTTATTAATGTCTCACATTTGGTTCTCTCTGTTTCTTAACCTACCATTTTTTCTGGTTGGAACAACAAAAGTGGCATTTATTTAGAACACAGGAGATGCCCACATAGGCTTTTTGAGTGACCAGCATTTACTGTAAGTTTTTTTTTTTTTTTTTCTGTCACATTTGACAAATGCCATTCCCCTGTTCTAAGGGGAAGATTGTTTCAAAGTGAGTTTTATTACTTCAGAAAATGTTCTTGCTGCAGTGCATGTTTTAATAATGTCTGGAAGCACTGTGCCTACTGGGTAATGATTAAATAAAAATGCACAGTGTTTTTATGGGGCATTGGTTGTAGCCATGTTGGTCTAAGGACATAGGCAGAAAAGGTTCTTTGGGTAAATGTGATAGTTTTATTAGACCAACTAAATAGTTGGAAAATTTGTTCTTTGAAAGCTTGTGCCTGAAAGCTTGCAAAGAACGTTTTTTTTCAACTATTTGGTTGGTCTAATAAAAACAAGAAATCACATTTACTTAAAGAAACTTTACTCCCTAGTATTTTTACAGCACTTTTCATCTTCAAAGCACAGTCATTTGGGATTTTCCATCAACATGATTTTTGATCAAAAATTCCATTTTACGTTCACCCTTAATAAAAGCATTTCAGTTTGTTGAACTGAAATAGAATATTTGCCTTGAGCTACTTTAATACTGAATTGTGTCTTCCTAGATTGTTGTGGAGCCTCATGAGAGTTGGAGCTGGGTACTTAGCACTACTATTCTCTCCTCTGGGGTTGGCCCATTGGTTGAAGAACGTCTTCCATGATGCATCTTGTTTTCCCATTCTCTCGTCAGAAATTACAATTTAAACTCAGGTATAGTCATGAAATAACTAAGCTTTGGACACTTCTGTGAATAGTTAATTAAATAGTAACAGACACATTTTACAAATTAGGAAGTGCAGGTATAGAGATGCAAAGGCAAACAAACAAAAACTGAAAGTCAGGACTTCTATTTTTCTAACAGCTGTTCATCAGAACAAGGATATTCCACATGCAGAGGGTACCTTGCACCAAATAATAGAAGATTTGCTTGCATTTATCTTAAGGTTTAGGGTAAACCAACCAATTTGATTCCCTTTATTTTGTCTTGGCTACCTTTCCTATTTACAGGGATTTTCACACCAGGCAATATCCACCATACATTGAGTAAAGATACATTCAGTATCTTTTATTTTTATTGTCTTCCCAATATATCTGAAGTACAAACAAATGTCAAGAAAGTTTTATGCGGCGTAAGAGTCTTTTCAGGGCACCCTTCACTTCTTTGTTCCTCAGGCTGTAGATCAGAGGATTCAACATGGGAATGACCATAGTGTAGAACACTGAAACCACCTTGTCTCGGTCAAGGGAGTAGCTGGAAATTGGCCTCACATACATGAAGACAGTGGTGCCATAGAATAGCATTACAGCTGTCAGGTGAGAGGCACAGGTAGAGAAGGCTTTGTGCCTGCCCTCAGTGGAGCGGATCCTCAAAATGGTGGAGAGGATGTAGATATAGGAGACTAGGATCTCCAGTGAAGTGAAGATGCCATGGAATGTACCAAATATGTAAAGCACGAGCTCATTTCTGTAGGTGTTAGAGCAGGAGAGCTGTATCAATGGAGGAATGTCACAGAAGTAATGGTTGATGACAATAGAGCTGCAGAAGGACAACGTGAAAGTAGAAATACTTTGTGCCAGTGCATGGACAAAGCCAATGAGGTAAGAACCAGCCACAAGATGGGCACAGAGTTTTGGGGACATGATGACTGTGTAAAGCAGTGAGTTACAGATGGCTACATACCGGTCATATGCCATCACAGCCAAGAGGAGGCACTCAGCACTTGCTGTTAGGACAAAAATGAACAACTGTGTGACACATGCACCAAATGAAATAGCTCTCCTCTCAGCTAGGAAATTCACCAGTGTTTTGGGGGTGATAGATGAGGAATAGCAGAAATCCACAAAAGCCAAATGACTGAGGAAGAAATACATTGGAGTATGGAGCTGGGGATCAACCGTGATTAACAGAACCATCCCAATATTCCCCATCACTGTTATTAGGTACATTGTTAAGAAGAGCAAAAAGCAAAAAACTTTCATCTCTGGAATTTCTGTTAGTCCTGAGAGGAAAAATTCAGTCACCATACTGTGATTTCTCTCAGCCATTTTTTTGGCCAAATCACGTGTGTGTTATCTATTGAATGGAACCCAACTCTAATGAGTAGGGCAAAGGGAGAAAATCAGTGGCCCAACCTATATCATTTAGCTATCCAAGACACATATATAGCTCATTGCCATAGCATTTGACCAACTCAAAAGCTTTAATGATTTTGTATTTATAATACCACTGAAGGATTGAGCAGTATTGTCAGCATTTAGTAAATCAGAAAATGAGACAGAAAATGAAGCGACTCACTGAGAGACGCACAGTATAACTATTGTACAGCTGTAATTTAGAGACAGATAAATCTATGTCAGAAGATTGACAACTGCACCATCTTTCTTCCCCCCACCCCTCCAACTGAATGATTCTGTCTTTCTGATAAAGAGTCACTGAACATTACAGCTACAGCAAACTGCATGATGTCTCTGCCTCTTCACTTTCTTGCAGGTGCAGCTTGATGAGTCCTGATATATGCAAAATGATCCATACGTCCACCCAGCTTCTTCCTGGACACACAAAATCTCATTAACTTCTTTGTGACTACAACATAGGCACTAACAGTAATACAGACTATTATTGTAAACTACAACTGCAGCAGCTGCTAGTAAAAGCCCACCCAGGAGAGCCTGGAACTCAATGAAAGCTGTAAAAACTAAATAAGGCAGGAGGAATTAGTCTGTATTTTCCTCAATAATAACATTGCTAGACTCTTACCAATAAGTAGGTATGGCAAAGTGGGGGTCCCTGACCAGCCACAGTGCTGGTTTTCCCCACCAGCCTCTGGGCATGCCACCCACCTGTCTTTCCTTCCATGCCTTGTTGTTAATTAATTATGTTGTTAATTAAGAAAAGAGACTGTGCATTCTCACCCCAATGCCAAGGGGCACTATCTGTGGCTCCATTCCTCCCCTGCACCACAACCCAAGCCTCACAGATGGCATCCAGGTGACAATGCTCTGAGCCTACAGCTGGACCAAGCTTAGCCCTCGTTGTCAGGCCACAGACACACACACGTTCATACTGCCCTCCTCTCACGAGGGCCTCACACGCTCCAGCCTCTCTCACAGGATCTCCTTCATGCATCAACAACTTATATTGCCTTGCTCCCTCTTGGAGTGGGCCCCTTCAGCCCATAGGCTTTAGCTAGCTCATACCTTGGGTGGCAGACATACCGTCTTTTGAGTCTCTCCCACTACCCTCACTGGGGTAGTGGCCAGCCAATCACCCAACCGGGTCTAAGCTTGCCCTGGCACCTTCCAGGGGCAACTCTATACATTCAGACATACTGGGCTCCCAGTCCTCTAGTTTTCCCCCTCACTGGGGCTCCACACCGCCCCTTCACTGGGGCCACCCCCTCCCTGGGGCTCCACATCTCACACCACCCCCTTATTGAGTCTGCCCTCTTACTGGGGCTCCACATTTCTACCCCTTCACTGGGGCTCCACACCACCCCCTCACTGGGGCCATGGGGCTTCCCTCCCTGGTGGCCTCAGGTGGGCACAGCCATGCCTGGCCCCCACCCTCATTCCTCGGGATCTTGCATCCCACAGGGCTCAGGTGGCTGCAGCTGTGCCTGGCCCCAACTACCTCCGATGTTAAATGGCCCACCCAAAGGTGAGGGCTGGGGTTAAGGCACCCCTACCCACCTTTCATTGGGGTGGTAACTGGTCTGGCATTTCCTGGGAGCTCCCACACCACTGAGAGTCCCACCAGGCCACCCACCCCTGGCAGGGTGGAGTTTTAGGTCATGCCCAGGACCAGGAGCCTCTAAATCATCTCCTACAGCTCCTGCCCTTACCTCCAGGATATTGCATGCAGCCTTGCAGCCAGACAATGTTACTGCCTGCCAGCAGTGAACTGTTCTGTTTATATAGATGGCCAGAGATCTAAAATGACTGCCGCAATCAAGCACCTGCTGGCTGCTTGGCTCCACTCTTAAAGTAGCAGGCACCAACAGTGCCCTGCCACACTGAGCTAACTAGTTTAAAGCTAGATAAGCTAAGATACACTGTGCATGCTACATGAGATGTTATATCACCATTGGAAGTGATGGGGTTGGAAATGACCCATGTGCCACCTGGACTGTACAGTACCAGTGGTTACTGCACAGTCATTTAGTACTTGCTAAAGCAATTGCTAAACAACTGTGCAGTAACAACTGAACACCTGGGCAGACATGTAGATGTACCTAGTATGAGCCATATCTTGTTTACTTTTCATGTGCCTAAGTAGCAGGTACATAACCCCATAAGCACAGCTTTTGGCACTTATGAACAGTTTGTGATTCTACTTTGCTTGCACCAGACTATGGAAATTCTCAGTAGGTCTCAACTAGGCAGTTACTTGGGAGAAATAGGTGTGCATGTAAGGCTGAGGAAGTCCTAAAATTTTAGTTTCAGAAAAAGCTGACCAGCCAGTAGTTGTTGGAAGACAAGAGCTCTCCCATGTGTCAGTCCAATATTCCAGTAGCTAAGAACTTGCCCAGGGAGCTAGAGAACTGGAGTATAGCTGTGACCTCACGCAAATGGATTTGAACCCTTGTTTTCTGCTTTCTAGCAAAGTTGGTTAATCACCAGGCCATGGGCTAGGCATGGCCTATACCTCCATAGAATACTCTTCTTGAAGCTAGCCTACTGTGCCTTACAAATAACATTAATTCGATCAAATTAATTAAAAAAAAAAAGTGGAAAATGTTCTGCCACATTGGGTTTAGAGGCACAAGCTAGTATCCAGATCCCCCTCCCATCCAAGCCAGCATCCATATTGTTCAGCCATTCATCCACTTAGCTGTTTTTTTTCCCCCTTCTGGTACCACCTTTTTAGTTCTCTAGTAGGCCAGGTGCAAGAGAAAAGTTGAAGAGGTTTTTAGGTAATGCCTAAGTGGTGGCCTGGTAGTTACAGCATGTTGCTGAGACACAGGTTCAAACTCTGTCTCAGTGTGTGCATCTACATGTGTAATTAGTGCACCTGAATAAACTCCACTGCACTTCATGCCAGAGTTTATTGTTCCCTGGTGCAGCATTTACACATGCACCTGGGACCACAGTACATTGAGCTGGGGCAGCACAGCCCCACTTGGCAAGGGGCAATGGGCATCAGCCTGCCAGCCTGGAGCTGCTACACTCTGGCTCAACATGCTGCAGAGGGGCTAGCTGGGGCACAAAGGTGCCACAGTGTGGGGTTAACCAGAAGGCAGCCCCACACTTTAGCACCTGTGTGCCCCAGCCAGCCCTGGTCACCATCTACACGCGCATTGTGGTGCACTAAACTCCACCATAGGATAGTTCTTGTGTCATGCAGTACTATCCTACAGCAGAGTTAATTAGTTTACCCTGGCCTAATAGCACTGCATGTGTAGACAATGATGCTTCACTGCAGAGCTAATTACTCAACTCCACAGTAAATGTACTTGTAGATGCCCCCAGTGTGGGATGACCTAGTGGGAACTGGGGTCTCCCACTCCCTGGGAAAATATCTGAACACTAGGGTTTTTAAATAAAAAGTGAGGAGGACTTCCTTCTCCCTTTTAATAGATATACATACAAAGCAATCCTATTTCCCAACCTGTGTATAGGTGCCAATAACTGCAGCTAAGTGGCTTCATGCCCACCATTAGGAATATGATGTGTAAGTAGGATCTGGCCCTATGTGCATACCATAGATGTAGGTTAAACACACTTTAGTAATCATAGGAAGTTAAGGTTGGAAGGGACCTCAGGAGGTTATCCAGCCCAACTTCCTGCTCAAAGCATTATGCCTAAAAGAAAATTTGCCTAATGCAGAATGCCTACCAGAAAATACAATGGTTTCTTCTCTATAACAAGTGATGGGCAAAAGTTTAATTTCTGGCAAAACCAGCAATCAAAATAAGCCCTTCGAATGACAGAAGGTGTCTAAAATTTCCCTAAGGACTTGTTCCAAAGCCCACTGAAGTCAATGAGTGTCTTTCTATGGACTTCATTGTTCAATGGCCATTTTATTCTAAGAAATAAATTAGAAAGGTTTATAAAATGAATCACCCTATTTTTATGAGTATCAAAAATGTCTAAGGTGCTAAAGGGGACAGAATTAGGAGTGAAGTGGGGATCACTGAGATAAAGGATAGTTTGGGGCAGGGGTCGGGATATAAGAAGCCAGATACAGAGGCAAGTTTATTAGTTCCTTTTCTATACACTTCCATTTCTTTCAACAAAGGAAATTCAAAACCAGACAAAAGTATGTTGGTTACCATATGATTAATCTATGAAAATTATTGCCACATGATATTAGTGAAGGAAATACTTTATGGATACAATTAAGAAATAGACTTGTATTAGTTTCTTTGCTCTGTAAACCTCACTTTTTAGGACATAATATGTGTATAGTGTGGAATTCAGATAAAATCATCCAGTGGAGCTATAACCATGCAATCATTATCACAGTGATGAATATTTATAGTTGTATAGACAGCCCCAGTAAGACAGTAAAAGCACTCATGAACAAAAGCTCTCTAGTCTAAGGATTAGACCATCTAGCCCATTGATAGATAGTATTTCACTTCTAAAGCAATGGCAAAACTATGATATGCTCTTTAATACCATTACTTTCTATTGGAAAATGAAATGCTTCTTAAGGATTATTTGGATTTGGCTTTTTAACTCCTACTTTGGTCCATCTCTTGTATATATTTCCATACCATTTTTTCCCTGAAGAAATGTGCTATATACTCACCTACAGTATTATATTTTCTTCACCAGATCTCCTAGAATGGTAGAGAAAGGAAACTGTAAAATCTTTACAGCTGTAGAAGCTTTATTCTTTATAGCAAGAAAGAGCTTTTAAGGCTGAGTTCAAAAAGTGCTTAGGTACCAAAAGAAGGATGTAGGCACCCAGTCAGATTTTCAAATATGACTAAAGAGATTAGGTTACTGATTTAAATGGGAGTTTAATACATGATATGCTTAAGCCATGTTGAACATTTCCTCAGTTTCCTATCCATAAGTCTATCCATATAAACATTAAATATCAT